GCACAGCTACATACATTTGTTTTATATACTTTTAATAAAATTCAGTCAGTACAGCTCTTAGGAAAATGTTACCCATGTGATTACCTAATATTTTGACAATTAGTCTACCTTCTAAATATTAAGTCAAAATTCAGATATTTTATTCAGGAGTAGCATTTGTCTTAGTCTCCTATGTATCACACAGTCTTTTCAGAAGAATAAAAATAGAAATTCTGATTAGGCAATAGAAGAAAAAGCTACTTTTGACCTTAGTGCATTCTTCCTTGACTCCCCTTAAGTACTCACCTTGCCATACTGTCAGCATGGCGTGCCTCTGTGGGGATCCTCTTAGCAACCATTACCTCTCCTGCAGCAGTACTTGATTATTTTTCCCAGATTCCTTTTATTAACTATGGAGTAAGAATATCGCATGATATTCCTGCAGAAGATACTTGCGCTTAATTGCTAAAGCAATCCAAAGAGCTGCTACTAAAATGATCTCTGAGAGCGAGCTTCAGGAAGACACTATGGTAGGTAGAGATGAGACAAGGACCCATAAGAGGGAATGATTACTCGTAAAGGAAAGGGCTCGCTACTACAAAACCAATCCCGAAACAGTGTTTCTATGCATTAGGCATCAGAGCAGCCATGAGGGATGAGCCCCTGAGAAATCACAGTATACCAGAGAAGATTGCTTTAGCCTCTACTACTGAGAAAATCGAGAGATTATTTAGGGTGCCAGAAGGCATGAAAGGCCCTCAGCCTTGGCAAAAACGTCTGCCAAGAGTGAATAAAATAGCTGACCATTCCTGTGCGCTCCATTGCTTGAATCACAGAATCACGAAATGGTTGAGGTTGGAAGAGAATTCTGGAGGTCATCTTGTCCAACTCAAGCAGAGGTCACTTTGAGCAAGTTGCCCAGGTCTGTATTCAGACAGGCTTTGAATACCTCCAAGAAGGGTGACTTGACAACCTCCCTGGGCAACCTGTGCCAGTGCTCAGTCACCCTCACAGTGAAAAAGTGTTTCCTGATGTTCAGAACGGGACCTCCGGTGTTCCAATTTGTGCCCCATTGCCTCTGGTCCTGTCACTGGGCACCACTGAAAAGAGCCTGGCTCCAGCTTCTGCACACCCTCCCTTCATATATCTGTATACATTGCTGCAACCCCCTGAACCTTCTCTTCTCTAGGCTGAACAGTTACTACATCTCTCAGCCCATAAGAGAGATGCTCCAGTCCCTTAATCATTTTTGTGGCCTGTTGCTGGACTTGCTCTCCCTTGTCTACTAAGCCGGTCACAACATCATAGAAAGTTATTGGGTTGGTCAAGCATGATTTCCTCTTGGTGAAGCCATGCTCATTCCTCCCAATCACTTCATATGCCTGGTAAAGGTTTCCAGGATTAGTTGTTCTATCACCTTCCTTCTTGCCCTTGAAGATAGGAGTGACAAAAGAATGTACTTAGGTAAAAGGTTAAAAGGATGGCATTGGGGGGAAAAAAAAAACAACAATAAAGGATTACTGTATCCCAGTTACTTGTCATCTACATGACTGCAAAAATTTATGATGCCTGTACTGGATCTGAATAATGAGGGTGTCCCTGCTCCTCTACTGAAGAGATGTGCTTTAGAGGTGAAAATATTTACAAGAGGTTACAAGGTTCGTTCTTTATTTGCCTTCTAAGTTGGCAGAAGTTACTAATACCTGATGAACAAGCTATAACTTAAATGCGTTATTGTGGCTTTTTTTTCAAAACAAGGGCTCAGTTTTTCTTAAGGCTTGAAAATTCCAAGTCATACTAGATAATAAGCTGCTCGTGTGGAGGATGGAAAAGATCTGATGCCCTAGAAGTTTGTTCTGACCTCAGTTTCTTTCAGTGATATTTGCAAATAAACTGTCTTCAGTAATCCCAGAATAATTTAAGGCAGAGGACATTGCTTGGTTCCAATAGATACTCCAACATGAGAACAACGTTGACAAATAGTGTAGTGGCCATTAGTGACAACTGTGAAAAATGGAAATGTACGACCTGTATATCAAAGATGTTTTGATGTTCTGCTCTTTGCAAGAACGGTATTTCAGAAGAATGTACTAGTACCATAAAGATGATTTTTGAATGAGAAGCAGTTAATATGCCCTAAAGTAAATATATCTAGGAATTTCTATAACCATGAGCTTCACTTAATAAAACCATGTATGTTGCTAAGCCAACCTTGAATGTTGTAAAAAAAAAATAGTAGCCCCAGTAACCTTGAAGGCTGCATTGAAAATAAATGCAAAAAATTGTGTACTTCTTCCCTTTTACTTGGCTTTCAGTAGTAGATTTCTAGTGCTATTTTTAGTTTATTTAGTGCTGCTTAATCTCCTATTTTTATGCAGCCTTTTTCCAAAGGACTCGACAAAGAATAGTTTATCTAGTACTGGTGTCAGTACGTAAAAATAATTGCTGTGGGAGTCAAGCAGACTAGTAATAGAAACTGAGATGAATCTTAGTGCGGCAGGATTCCCAAGCATTTGTCATGCACCTTTACAAAATGCAGTAATTTTTAGATAAAATACAACATTAAATTAAACATGAAGTTTAAGAAATGTCACTGCCTTGTTATGCAGTTTTTTGCCTGTTGCACGCTTCTGTGCTTGCTGTGTGCAATATTTAGCTTCAACATCTCAAAAGACCACTCCCCACATAAAGCTTAGTCACGTATGAGTCCTGTTGGAGCAAAACTACTAAAAAGAAATTAAACATCACATTTCTCTTTATGTTTTGGAATAAAAATTTTAAGTGGCCCCAACATGACTTCCCTTTTGGTTCTTTGCTGAAAGTTTCAACACCGTGTTTATGCCAGAATTCTCTAGGTTGGAAGGAAGCTCTGGAGATCCTCCCCTCCAGCCCCAGAAATATGCCACAGTATCTGCTACCGAAGCGGAGTTAAGTACTTCAGTAAGGCGCTGCTTTTCATTGTACCTTCTCGAGGTGGACCACAGTGCAGTCAGCAGGCCAAGATCCATGGGGCCAAAGAGAGAACAGGGCTGTCTGAAAAAAAATAGCATGGTAAAGGCAGGTTACTTAGGTATTCTTAAAATAAGGATAATTGCGTGCATGCAGGTTTCTTGTTCTAACTCAGCCCGTTAGTGCCAACCTTGTTTAATTTATGCGTAAGCGTAGGTGACTTCTGAGATCTCTGAATCATGGCAGGCCTTAGGCACCTAAGAAGTGTCTTCTGAATTTGTACAAAAGCCCTCATTAGTGGCATGCAACAGCCAGACATAAAGGCACACTGAACTGAAAACTGGTTCAAATCTCAGACAGGAGGATGGAAAATTCCAGCACCTGGCGTTTGTTATGGTCAGGTAAAATTAATGGTAAGAGGGAAGGGGGTTTTGTTCCAGATCACCGCTGGTTATTGCTTTGTGTGAGCACTGTTGTGCAGATGAAGTCTCGGTAAATTGTTAGGTGAGAAATAGCTTTCAGGCTGAAGGTTAGTGTTTTGGTGAAAACTGTGTTGCCCTAAAGGAGCAACTGAATACTGCTTTAAGGAGAAAATATCCATCAAAGAAACAAATGCAGCATTAATGTCTAGAAATATTTGCTGTACTAAAAAGCTTGAAAATAATTTTGCAGTCTTTCTTAAGGTAACTAACTATGAAGTAACCTTAAAACCTGTTAGTTTATATACTGGCAAGGGAGCAAAGTGGGAAAGAAACTGCTGATCAAGAAATATAGTAATGATACTGGAAACAAGTACCTTAAAGGATTTTATTTTTATAGAAATTTTATTATTCTGGCATATTTATTGAGGTAAGCTCCGTTGTAGAAAACTTTTACTTTGAATGGTCGCTTTTAATAAATTCTTGATGTGTAAAAATTTGCCTTCAAAAAGCATACCATAGTTTTTTCTCATACCAAATATAAGGGTTTTTTCTCTGTAATATTCAGTAGCATTTGGAATCAGGGTGCTATTCTTCAGATCATATACTCAAAGATGAAAGTTGTAATCCAGTATAGGATCAGGGAATCCATGGAATATTTTTCCAGCAGGTGGCTTCCCAAACAAATTTGTACTTGAACGAGGTATGTAAGTCAACATAAGGATTTTTGGCTAGAGCAAGCATTTCTCTGCGAGATCAGTTTGAGTGTGAAGATACCTGTTCCCTGTAGCTGCAGAAATGGAGTTTAGTTCATTGCAGCTCTTCCCTGGAGTTTTTTCAGGAGGGCTTGCTCATGTAAGAGCAGTGTCAGTGGTATGTTAGGCTTCTGTTCACATGGGCCATCTTTGAATAATCTTGATTTTCCTCATTGCTCTTTACAAACACCAAGCTTATTGCTCTTTATTCCCAGTTTGCAGGAGAGGAAAGTAAAGGATTACCTAAATAAGGAGAACTTTCTATCCATGTGTTGAACTATAAAGTTCTCCTAATACTAAATACTAAGATTTCATGACTTCAGCAACCTCAGGAGACTCAGTGACTCTGTCAAAGCCGTGTTATGGGGGTGATAACGGTGGGAGTGAAGCAGGCTCTGTTGGTGTCAGCCCAACACCCAGCCCGACAGTGCTCTACTGCTGGTTTCGGTTAGTCTGTTCTAGTTCAAGGCTGTACGCATTGATCGACCAATCCACTTCATGTTTTTGTGATGAGTATGGATTAACTGCATATAAATGTTTGGATGCTAAAATTAGTCAATAAATCAAATTATAGACAGCTTTTTGCCTAGTGCATGATACGCAGTGGTTCGGTTTAAGATTTCAGCTTATTTTAAGCTATCCTGGAGCTTACATTTATTTAAAAATTTATTACATACAAGTGACAGTATAAGGATAATTTTTTACAGCCATGTGCCGTATTCCTTATGACCATAACTGCATCTTATTTCACTGAAAATCAAATTCATTACAATAAACAAATACAGAAAAGGGCTTTTATTTCTGATACTGGAGGAGCATCTTTGATGGGAATTTTTTAAGCACTGAATCTTTTTCAGAAAAGTTACTCATGTTGTTTCTGTGTTTTTTTCCTTTAAAGCCACAGAAGAAAGAAGATCAGCAATCAGATGCTAAAGCAAGTCCAAAAAAGTCATCAGAACCCACTATTGACCTTTTAGGACTTGGTAAGAAATACCTGATTACCTGTTTTCCAATTAAACACAGATACGTAATTTTATATTTTGGTAAATATATTTTTATTTTCCTTGTGATTACTGATAGTTAAGTGGATTTGAAAACCGTAAGACTCGGTCTATATGAATTTGAAACTATAAAGGAAAATGCCATAGGGATCTGCGTATGTCAATGCTTGTGTTTTGCTAAGGAGAGTAATGAGCTCCTGTGGTAAGGGAAAGTTATCAAAGTGATCTTCAAAGGGCTTGTGGTATTTCAGTGTTCATGGTACAAGTGTACTTCTTAATGAAAATGCTGAGGTCATCTGAACTGTGTATCTGTAAAATACCTTATATAATGAAATTCCTGTATTAGGAAAAAGAACAGTAAACTGTTTGACTGCTGACAGTATCTTGTTAAAACTTAATATATTGGGTGTTTCAGTGTTGTGTACTGACTGGGATCATCATTCATTTTTATCTAACATTTCTGATTGGTAGGTAACTGTGTATTTGTCTTGTAAATAAACCGCTTTGGACCCGAATCATTTAATTTGTACTCTCTGGCTATACTGTTGTGTTTTTATGATTTCTCTTTGCTTGTTAAAGGCCATATTCATAAAATCTGCCATACATTTATCTAGTGTTACTCTAAGTGTGTTTTTCCAGTGGATAGAGTCCTAAAATGCAACTGGAAGAATGAAATATTACAATATGTATTTTTAATACTTTTTATTGTCCACTGTTAAGAAATTTTCAGAGAGTTGTGAGTGGATATTAGAATATTCAATTTATATCAATATAATGGTTATACTTAAATTTCTGCATCATTTTTACAGGATATTGGGGGGGGCTGATAAGTCTTTTAGATGTAATTATTCTAAAAACTTGAATTTGTAGAAAAATGTTTTGTTGGGTATTTAATTTTTTATTTTAAGGTATGAATAATGTAGCAGCAAAACAACATCTTCCCTGATTTAGAATTCACGCTATTATTCAAAATGCATGTTATTTTCCCTCTGGATATAGAGTAGTTGTAGAATACTATTTTTGTACTGGTTATGTATGTGTTGTGATCCATATCTCATTCCAAGTAATCTGCTACCATAGGCAAGCAAATCTTAATTAACACAGTAGAAGTTAGATTATGGATGTAGAACGAACCTATTAAAAACAAAAGTAATTCAGACTTAATGGAAAGCTGATTCTACTTAATTTTCCTTTACCAGGCCAACAACCTAATTAAGAACTAAAATTTAACCAGTATGTGCTTCTGAGATTGTCAGGCTTCTGTATCCTTTTAGTCATGATTTGAAAAGTCTTGGTAACGCTGTTTTATGATCTGATAATGAACTCAAATTGCATAGGCTAACTTGAGCTGTAATATGCAACAGAGTATTATAATTGGTGTTCAACAGCTGTGCTTCTTCAGTGTAAAGAATCATAGTGAGATATACAAAGGGCAAAGTTTATAATTTCTATGTGAACGAAACATAATTTTAGAAGAGGGAGTGTTTAAAGATCTTTTAAGTAACAAATTGAAAGGCAGTTTAATAAGCTAGTAGCACTTGGAATCCACTGAGCTGCAGATGAGATTATGTATTAATGAGAGAAGACCTGCATATTTCATTTGGAGAGTTGTCTTTTAATTAATGCCTGCAGTAGACTACTTCAGATAGTATTAAAAGAAAGATCACTTCAACCCAATATATTATAGAACAACCGGGGTTGGAAGGGACATTGAAAGATCATCTGGTCCAACATACGGGAAAGGTAGCCTACATGAGATTATCTAGCATCCTGTCCAATCATGTCTTGGAAACCTCCAGTGGTGGGGATTCTACCACATCCATGGTGAGGTTGTTCACAGGCAGGTTCTCCAGCCCTTTGAGTGTCTTCATGGCCCTCCTTTGGACCCTCTCCAGTTTGTCCGCATCTTTCTTGAATTGTGGGGACCAGAGGCGGGCACAGGCTCCAGGTGGGGCCTGGCAAGCGCCCAGTAGAGAGGGATGATCACATCTCTCTCTCTGCTAGCAATGCCCCTGTGGATGCAACCCAGAATCCCATTTGCCTTTGTTGCTGCAGCGGCGCTCTGCTGATTAAAATGTTTGATAAGTCATATCAAACAGTATTAAAATAGATATGATTGCATAGCTCATTCTTCTTACTGAGTGGACATGTTTCTAATGAGAATTCATTCTCTTAGGACTTCATTTCTGCAAATGAAGAACAGTAGCAGCTTTTACTAGGGCAGATCAGAATCACTTATGATAAGCAGATTAAGTAATTTTAATGGATCACAACTCACGCCCAGCCTCTTGCAAAGTATTTTCTTAAGTAAGCCTCAGCGCTAGCTTTGGGTATGGGGTTAACCTTTGGGGCATCGCTCTCTTTGTCTCAGCTGGGGTTTTAATAGTGACCTTGTCAGAAGGTAAACATCCTCTGAGACAGGACTTACCCAGTGGCAATTGTAGCTAGACAAGATAGTTTTCTGAAAATAAATGGGTTTTTATTTTTATTTTTAAATTGCAAAATTCTCAAAATAATATGCCTCAGCAAATTGTATCTTTAAATATTGTAATAGCAGAAGAGGCATAATATCCTCAGTGACTGTACTGTCATGTTTGTCTTTCTTCTGAGCATTTTAAAATATATTCATGTGGTTCCCTTGAGTTCCTGTTCAGGGAGGTTATTATTAAGATAGTGTTCGGATATTCATTTTTTGATGATCCAGCTACATAAACATTCGTGGCTTTTGACCTTTTGATTCAGAGGAGATTTTTAGTTCAGTACTTCACACACTGAAAGGTGGGGAAATGGACATGGACAAGCTAAATATTCTTATGTTCTCCACAAGCAATAGTGTTAGTGTTCTTGCTGCGCAACCCCAAAGTCCTTCCCTATCTTCGGGTGCTATGAGAAATCACAGCCTATTTCTGTAGGCTAAAACTGAAGCAGCTTTTTAAATGATCTCTGCAATTTAGGTGGATCTTGTCCATGCTGAGAGTGTCCCCTGCTGAATATGTAGGGACTTAAAATTGATGCTAAAATCAATAATATGGGATTTTATAACATTAATTTTAATAGGGGGATTATAGGAAACATTTTTCAGTTTGAAAGTTACAACATGTAAACCAAACTTCTTCAACACTGAAGTTGTTGGCGGTACTGTATTTTCATGCCACTGGTGGTAACCGTGCACTCCATGCTGCTTGATATTTTGACGGTTTGTCTTACTCTTATGCCAGATTGATGTAAATAGAGAGTTTTTTAAAATCCTTGTAAAAAATAGTATGATACCTATGTATGATGCCAGGTCCTGCACTTGGGTCACAACAACCCCATGCAATTCTACAGGCTTGGGGAAGAGTGGCTGGAAAGCCGCCGGGCAGAAAAGGACCTGGGAGTACTGGTTGACAGCCAGCTGAATATGAGCCAGCAGTGTGCCCAGGTGGCCAAGAAGGCCAATGGCATCCTGGCTTGCATCAGGAATAGTGTGGCCAGCAGGGTAGGGCAGTGATCGTGCCCCTGTACTCATCACTGGTGAGGTCGCACCTTGAATGATGTGTTCAAGTTTGGGCCCCTCACTACAGGAAAGACGTTGCATTGCTGGAACATGTTCTGGGGAGAGCAACCAAGCTGATGAGGGGTCTGGAGCCCAAGTCTTATGAGGAGCGGCTGAGGGATCTGGGGTTGTTTAGCCTGGAGGAGGCTGAGGGGAGACCTTATCGCCCTCTACAGCTACCTGAAAGGAGGTTGTAGTGAGGTGGGGGTCGGCCTCTTCGCCCTGATAACGAGCAATAGGACAAGGGGAAATGGTCTGAAGTTGCATCAGGGCAGGTTTAGGTTCGACATTAGGAAAAATTTCTTCACTGAAAGTGTTGTCAAGCATTGGAATGGGCTGCCCAGGGAAGTGGTGGAGTCCCTGTCCCTGGAGGTATTTCAAAGCCGGGCAGATGAGGTGGTTAGGGGCATGGTTTAGTGGTGGAATGGCAGTGTTAGGTTAACGGTTGGACTTGATGATCTTAGAGGTCTTTTCCAACCTAAATGATTCTATGATTCTATGCCATGATTCTTTGACAGTGGGAATCTTTTTTTGGAATGATACACAGGCAATTTTGAACCATTCTGTTTGTCAAGGTATGTCACTTAGAAATCATTTCAGCATGGAGAAAAAAATGAAATATTTTTAATCTAGATTAATTTACAGAATTATCAGAAAGAAGGAAAGTTCATTTTACATATTATGCATCATTTACCATGTTTAGATGTGCCCTTCATAAAATAGACAATCGCACATTCTGGAATAACCCTTATAGTAAGTTATAAGGGATGACTCTCAGTTATTATGTTGTTGTTGTTAACCGAATGTGATGTGTGGGGCATTCATCCAGTGTGTTTGGAGGTAAAGCGTGATACACTAAAAGGTGTATATCTGCTTGTGTAGGGGAGATATTCTCTGAAGGAATTCTGTGAAGTTTTGAGAGCTTAAACGTGGTATGAAATGTAGCTGAATCTTGCATATCTGTGAAACGTACTTTTGTCAGTCCTCTCTAGTAAGTACCAAAGCAGCATGGTTGGTCCTAAGTTGGAAAGCTGCATTTAAGAAAGAATAAAAATACATTTATAAGTACTAAATACTATATATGCATGTTAACATTTGTAGTGTTGCTGCTATGTTAAGATTAAGATTAAATAAGCAACATTTCTATCCCAAATGAAAATGTTTACAGCCACTTGAGGCATACAGCATTGTTAGCTTTCTGGCTTTCCGCATTTTATTTTAATATGTATCATACAGCAATACCTCCCTATGAATGCTTTTCACTTCCACAAGGGTTTTAGCAGTAAATAAAATTTTAGTAATGCAGTAAATAACTCCACAGTTATTTGAGGCAGAAAAACCTTGTTTGTATCTTTGCACAAGATTTTGTTTCAAGTATTGAACTATTTCTCTCAGCGCTGCCTTTCTAATAACTTGGTGGAATAAATACTCATATGCATATTCAAAG